ATTCCTGAGAGCATTCTGTTACCAGTTCTACATTATAGTTGTAATATTTACAATATATATAAATAATTTTTACTTTAAGAAAGGACGAAATAGAGTTTTAAAGGTTTAAAGACAATTGAGTGTGGCCGATTATATCACCAGTAAGCTAAATACCCATCGATTTTATTATGAGTATGCTTTTACATAATTCAAATAAGCCTTCAAACACTACTAAGAACGGTCGATTATCAAATAATAAAACGATTATTATTAGTAATTATTTTAAGAAAAACAAGAGTACCATTTTACTGTTCGGTAAACCAACAATAAATTAATAAGTTAATTTTAAAAATATCGAAACAATTTGAAGACCTAATTAATAATAATAGTAATAATAATAATAATAATGATAATAATAACGACAACAACAACAACAAGAGTAATAATAATAATAATGATCTGCGTGACTATCGCACAAATTATCGGCTCTAAAATTGCCCTTTTGCATTAACTATTTATTTTAAGCTTAATACAATCAGTGAGAAAAGGATTGATAATATTATCCGATCATCCGATATGTTTTTGCATAACAAATTGTATTTATACATCGTTGTTTAAATAATTGTTCAAATACCTTAAGCCGTTTCTCTTTGCTCTCCGTAAATCATTTCATTGCTGTAAAATGTGCGTGCATGCGTGCGAAATGTATGTATGCATGTATGTATATTTATTTGGACTGGCGAAAATGGAAGATTAATAAATATTAAGAGCAACTATAAAAAAATTATATAAAACAGTAGTCAGTATTTTCAACAATAAAATATAGTTGCAGAATTTTTAATTCTCCAATAATTAAAATGAATATTAAAACATTGTCATAATAAAGTATATCTTATATAAAAGTTAAAGTAATCAATTTAACTATTCGACTTCACTTCGCGAAGATCCTCATTCCTTCGTAATTGACAAATCGTGCAATTAATCGCTATAAAATTATAAACGGTCTGCAATAATAAGAAGTTTTTTGAAATCAGACGAGAGAACTGTGAAAAAAATGCAGATAAGAGAGAAATATTGATAGTTGCGTGATATGAGACTTTCGGTTCCTTAGCAGTTACGATTTAAAATCGACTATCCATTGCAATTTACGATCGCATGATCGAGTTAGCGGAAATATCAACCTGATCAAAGAAATCACTTATTTGGAACACGCTATAGATGATGCAAAAAGAAAATAGGAACGAAAATAAACGATATCGACAATAACATCCTTCAACATCAGAACAAGTTACAACGTTACACTCAATTACTTCCTTGGAGCTGATCGTTTCAACTTTTTGGTGTTGTCACGGCAAAACATTTTTTTCCCAAAATTTTCTCAATTCGTGTAGGGTTATTATTACAAGAATTATTTGTGCAGGAATGAAGTAGACTTCATCTTTTGTAAGATGTAAATGAGAGGCGAACTGTGTGCTTGATTTCCTTGAACGAAAAGAAAATAAAGATGCGATTTCTTAAATATTATTTTCAGAAAGACATGCTACTTAATTGTCATGCAGAGAATTGTTTGAGTTTGGTAAATGGAGTTTGGACCATTCATCATTGCGTTTTCAACAATTTCTGTGGTATAACAATACGAAATTTTACGCCAGATTTCTGATTTTTAATGTCTCGTAGATTGAAAATTTTGAGAGAAATGCACGAAATATAAAAGATATGTCGTTTAAAAGATATGTCATGCGATTGGCGGCTTGATCGTGGTGTATTAAATCGCGACTCATTGAGGATGTCGAAAAAAGTAATATAAAGAAATCCGAATCAATCGTGCCTGATTTATTGCGGGTGACGTCTCGAATTATTTGTCTCGGATAAGATCACGAAGGTAAGTGGTTCGTGATGTAAATGAGCTAAGGTTTAAAGGTTTACGACCGTAAAGGCGCATTAAAACTCTCGCTCGCATTTCGCTTCCGTGTTTGATACTTTGTTGAGACAGAATTTGTGATCCAGCGTATTAGTATTCGGTATTTAACAATCTGAAAATCTGAAAAAAGAAACGCGTATCGTATATTTTATTGAAATAGTAATACAATTAAAAAAGTGGAGTAGAGCTAGAATTGTCAGTATTTAAACGAGCTCGCGTCGCCGATTTTCTATCACTTCTTAATGTTGCAAGAAAACGTAAATTAATTTTTAATTAAATATTGTAGCTGAGAATCGTAGCTACGTGTATTTATATGTTACGATAAATAGAATGCGTTCGGAGGAAAGAAAGAAGGAAAAGATGGATTGGATTGGACAAAAACTCTATTAATAAATCCATTACGGAAACACGTACGAGGGATAGAAACACACAAGGATTATATTTATAATTAGCAAAATTAGTTACACTATGCCTCTATGCGTGTGTACGTTAGCATTCTGTAATTCTTAAATTTAAAAACCACTTATTTTACACTATGTGTATTTTACATACACGTACATATGTATTTTTGTATTTATATTTGTTAATTTTTTTTCTTTCTTATTTACAAATGTCGAGAAATTGAAATTTGATTTTATCTTGTAAAATCTTGTTTGTTCTCTCTTAAAAATTACTTTTCAAGTTTTATATTTAAATAATAATAATAATTGGTTTTATTACTTCACGCCTCTTATGTCACCAATCGATCCGTCTTTTCAAAATAAATGAATTAGTTAACGAATGAATTCATAAATTTGCCAATACAATTAATGTTTTAAAACGATAATTAATAATATATTATAGTGTCTTCTAACAAAAGAATTGACTTATTGTGTCAAATGAGACTTACAAGTCTCAATCGCATTCTATATCGTTCATATAAAAGTAACGATATAAAAGGAGAATCGTGCACATATATATTATTTTATTTGAATATAATTGCATAATTAGCTACAATAGCATAATTAGCTACAAGGACAAAGGACTATCGTTGTAATGGCCAATAATTATTTTACGCTACTCACAAAACAATATAAGAATTAACAAGTCGATTATTTCAATTCAGATTTCAAATTCATTCGATATTCCGCAAAATTTGCAGTCTGCAAAACTTTTTGGCATTTTAAAACTGCGCCTTCAACTGCGCTTAAAGAGAAAACTGAAACTTCCATTCTTCTTTCCTCTAGCAATATATCGCGCGTTAACGCTAGACGTATCACATCATATATAAAATATTTAACGACAAACAACGTTGCAGATTTAATTATATACTTTTAATGCCGATAATAATAATTGATTTGCATGATTTTCATTAATAAAT